ATGTTTTGACTGATTTGAACTTTTCTCTTTCTAGGGAAACAAAAAGGGTAACTGATAATGATAAGAACTAAAAATTTACATTTTCAGCAAATAGATATTTTACCATAACAGTATCATCATGGGGAAAAACAGTAAATATTTTTGCCAACTAAGGTGTGATTCCAGGGCTCTTTTTATTGGCAACATATTTTAGCTATCATAATCTTTTCCATAATTTTTCCATCTATTATAATCATTTAACACTGTCCGCCGACTTAATGCAGTTGTAAATTTTTGATTTATTATTTTTTTAATATCATTATTATTATTTTTTATTTTAGTTTTTTAGTTTTTAGCTTTCTCTACATATATTCACAATATTTAGTTTCTTAGATTTTAGCTTTCTTTACATATACTGACAATTTTAGTTTCTTATTTTTTTATATTCATAAATTTTCCTTTTTTATAATATCGATTACACAAGGATAATATCCTTTTATAATCGAAAGGGTGGACTGTTGTCGGAAAATTTTATCTTTCTTCTATTATATATATTCATTTATCCTATTTACTCACTATAAAAGTTTTCACTCAGTCTGTTTCTCTTTTAAGGCCACACATTTCTCTCCAGGCTGGTGTTTGTAGACCAGACATAGCTTCTTCCCATAACAAATCTGGTCCTTTAGGATTATTCATAACATGTTACTGTTAACCAAAATGTGTGTAATTTGTTATGACTCTGACTGCTTTCCATTGTTGTAAGTAGGGCCGGACGAACCCTGCCCAGATCAGAACAGAGCAGGATGCTATGCCATGAAGGCTGTATGATGAACTGTTCTCTCTTTACAAAGATATGAATAAATGTGCCGACTGAGTGAAATCCATCCCAGGATGAATAGTTGAATACTTTTTCCCCAAGACAACACCACATCCATGGTGCCACCCATAGATACCGGTGATTGTGTCCACCAACATCACATGCTTGTGCACATACACCCAGACAGAGAGAGAAAGTATCAGAAGAGCACAGGATGAACATGTTCAAATGTTTAGCGCCTACACAGCCTTTTGGAAAAACTCAAAAAATCTAAAGTTACACAAATGAAACCAATGGTTGATGTTCTCAGTTATAAAACCTGAAACACAGTGACAGTTCTGGACCAAGTTTACTAGCCTGGGGTCTGTTGGGTTTTTAATGGGAGCAAAAAACAAAAGCATAAAATAAAAAACAGGGCAGTTGTTCATTGTTTGATAGANTGATCAGAACCAACCTTCTGCTGTTTGCTGAAACCTGGAGGTCCAATAGATCTAAGAACCTCCTGAATAAATGATGACAGTCTGATCAGATAGAGTACTGACACTTATGGCTCCATAGCTGCAGTGTGTGGCGCCCCCTTCAGGCCTGAAAACACTGAGTGACTCAGTCACAGTTCGAAACCACAGCTGCTGGAAATGGTCCTGAAGATCTGGCAACATGGTGGAGACCTGGACTGGGTGGAACAAGTTTCCATCAGTCTGGGTCAGTCTAGGATGGAACCACAGACATGAGATCCGTGGTTCCAGATGTTCTCAACATCTGGGTTCATTTCTGCTAAAATCAGTCCCAGTTTGTTTAACTGGGTCAGAACTGGTTTGTCTTATTCCCTTCCTTTGAGGATGATCCAGTGTCTCTGACTGTAAAGGAGATCAGAACCAGTAATTCTACAGATTTAAATGATCGAATATGAACCATCAGTCGGTTGATCTGTTCTGTTTCTGCTCTCAGCATCAGAGAAGATCAATTATCTGGATCCAAATGAAGCTTCTTCCTGTTTCCTGATGATTTATCCTGAAACATTCAGTGATCCGATCTGTTTTTCCTTCTGCAGGAGAAGTTTCCCTCCATCGTGTTTCTTCCTGAAGGCTGCGGCTCAGAGGTCATGGTCCTGAATCATCCTGAGCTTCCAGGGTAAAAATCCTCTCAGCCTTAAAGAAAACTGCCTCCAGAACCTGAACAGATCAGGCTCTGAACTTGTCTCTGTTTCTGGTTGCAGCTGCAGTTTCTTCATTTATTGGTCCCTGCAGGTCTCCACAGGGGGCGCTGTTATTCCAAACATCCACCTGTTGCCAAAGATCCCAGAGAGAGGTGAGATGTCCCTCTGAGGGATAAAGTGAACCTGAGGTCCTGCTGTCATACAGTCTCTAATAATCCTGAATTATTAGATCTAATCTGATTGGCTCAGAGCACAGAGATCAGCAGCTAAACCAGCTGTTCTCAGATCAGACAGTTTGAATGTTTCTATTCAATCAGTTTTGAACTGAAGGCTTAAAATCAGGATTTTAGCAGCAGATAAATTAGACATAAATTAGGCAGATTTCATGAATAATTTCCCAAATTCTACTGCTTCTTTATGGAGATCTTTGGTTCCCAGTATCTAAAACTGCTGTTTCAGAGGAAACAAGTTTTTGTGACAGCTTAAAAAAGACTAAATCTAGACTTTATCTGAATACATCAAACTTAAGCTCCTCTTTGTTTACCCTTTATGTCATCAACAGCAAAGGCCAGAACAGACCTAATCCGATTTTGCATCCAATCAGAAAAACGTGTCGGACGAGGTCGTAGCGTTTAGCTCTCATTTAAAATCAATGAGGATGGTCACACCCGACATGATTTTAAGCACAGGGCCTGCGTAGCTCCGACTAAGATAGAGCCCAGGTCTGTTTTAGTTGGACTACGCAGCAATCTAGCAGCAATTTCATGGGTCTGACTGGAAGGGAGACGCTGTTACAAACTAAAAACACATCCGCTTTGGGGGGAAATACAAAATAAAATCTGTTAATCGCATGAGAAAACATGTTTGGCATCAGACAGCGCATATATAAAAGGCAGAGCAGACTCATGCATAAACATGGAATAACATTTCTTTTTAAAGAATTATTTACTTATTATAGGAGTTAAGGAGGACAGAAACAGATTAAGAACTGATTTGAGCTTCACAAAAATCTAAACGAGGAGCAGACAGTGCAGGCAGCTCAACTAATTTCTCTGTCCTCTTTATGAGAAAAACAAAAAAAGAACTTTAACAAACTTCCCAGATCTCTCTGAGCATCACCTCTCTCTGCCTCAGACAGCATAGGAACCTTCCACAGCCTTTATTGCTGCATTTTCCTTTGCTTCACACTAAGTTCCTATTATGCTTTTAATATAGGCCAATGAAAATTCTCTATCTTATCTGGTGTAAGAGATGCTGCACAGACTAATGAATTGGGGCTTTGCTTTGTAGCCAGACCTTTTTTTTTTTTTTACTTTTCTTTTTTTATAGCTTTTAATAATCTGTTCTGGTTAAATTTGGGCAATTGTTTCCAAACAGAGAGAGGAGTGAAAAAAGGAAAAGCACATTTTGGGATCTGCTACCCTGTGCGTAGTAGCAGCCTCTCTATATGCACTGCAGTCAGTGTCACAATCGGGTTGGAGATAAAGAATTCAGAAGCAGCTGGTGTTACCTGAGCTATCATGGTTAGGAAAGGAAGACTGGACTGCTGTGCCATATGCCGACAACCTTTAACCTGTTGGATGTTAGGGGATGGAAACACACATGGATGCTTTTCAAATTGGGACCACAGCCTATTGCGACGTATAAACTTAGATTTAATTCACACGCTGCGGCCTGCTAAGGCAAGGGGTATAAGCTACTGATGACGCGTCACTCTGAATCATAACACACTATGATGTCCTTTAATTTTCCCATCTCATGTTCTTAATGCAAAGCTGTACATATCTTGATGAGTAGTGCATGGATATATCACACAAGATGGTCAACAGAAAGTTTCTCCCCAAGCTCACCCAGTCACCGTAATCCAGGTCAATGTTTAACCCAGGTGAGCAAACAAACTAATACAAGGACAACACACCCATGGTGCCACCAATAGATACCGGTGATTGTGTCCACCTACATCATATGCTTGTGCACATACACCCAGACAGAGGGAGAAAAGTATCAGAAGAGCACAAGATGAACATATAATAATGTATAGCGCCTACTCAGCCTTTTGGAAAAACTCAAAAAATCTAAAGTTACACAAATGAAACCAATGGTTGATGTTCTCAGTTATAAAACCTGAAACACAGTGACAGTTCTGGACCAAGTTTACCAGCCTGGGGTCTGTTGGGTTTTTAATGGGAGCAAAAAACAAAAGCATAAAACAAAAAACAGGGCAGTTGTTCATCGTTTGATAGATTACATGTGACTCTGAACCAAGAGCCATTTCTAAAGGTGGAGACTCCAGATACAGCAGATAGAAAAATAAAGGTGCACCGATTTTCTTAGTTTGACGAGATTGGTTATTGGCCGATACTTAGATGTATTATCTTATGAACTTAAAACAGGTTTAGATTGTTTCACAGATATCGTTCTTTTTTCTGATTTAATGAGATTGAAAGATTTAAGGTTTATTGTGAACTAATAACTGTCCTTAAAAAAATATGGCAAATATTCATCACATAATTTATATCAGTCAAAATCAGAAACAGAATATTAGTCTTTATAAAGATTGATTTTCAGCCAGAAAACAACAACCAGTGCAGCTCTAGAAATGTGATCCCATCTCAATATAACTGAAGCTTAAAGTGCACTGCCTTCATTTTTAAATCATTGCTGAGATAAAACTGTAAAGGTTAAAAACAAAAAAATATCAGCCAGTCAGTTATGGTTTCTGTGTCACTTACAGTATAATAAAAGTGATAATTAAAAATGTATTAAATAGAACATCTTCAGTACAGAGGCCATCAGTTATTTAGGGCCACTGACCCCTTCTGTCAAAACTGAAGAAAGTGAGGACATTCCCATGTGTCACAGAGTACATGTGAATAAATAATGTGTTTGTTCAATTATGTGAGGTGGGCTGTGCCTCTACCTCAGTTCAAACAAAGGATTGTGGTAAACTTTATAGCTCCTAACGGCCAGTTAGGAATGCTGGGTGGTCCCTTTGCTAAATAACTGGATAGGAAACTGTTAGGTTAAAAAATGTAGCTTCATAAAAGAAGGACTGAATACACAGTAATGGATTTTCAACAACAGCTTCCTGCAGGAGGGGAAATAGCCAAACCCAACACTCCAACTCTCTCTCTCCCCCAGACCTCCTCTGGAGGTTTTTTTTTATTAACAGAACATGACACATGATTACAAAACAGAGTATTGTTCTGAAAGGACAATTGATCAGGTCATAAGACAGGATGCTCTACTGACTGAATCACAAGGCAGAGCTCTCCTCTTGACTGAATCACAAGATAGAGTGGTCTCCTGATTGAATCATAAGACAAAGTGAAGCATCTCATTTCTCCAATGTTTTATATGTACATACA